GACTAATTATATAACAAGATCAAACAAGTACCAACCAACCCACCAACCTCCGGACCAAACAAAAACCGGACAAGTCCAGACCTTACCAGACACGGTCCGATACGAACCAAAGAACAAATAACCCAACCAAACAAACAAAGCCGAACAAGGACAATACGAGGCGTGCCAATCATGACAACTTTGCACTACCAATGCTGATCTCCATTGCAGACCTGTTGGATGACTGGTTTCTTGGTGTCTCGCCCCGTTGACCATGTCCATTCTGTCCCAGCGGCGTTCAGCTCCACAATGCCCGCGAAGCCCACAATCTGCAGCCAGCCCAAGGCTGGCACCTGACACCAAAAACATGGTGATCAGGTAGAAGCAGGCTGAAGAGGCCTACTAAGTAGGCCCTACTTTTATCTCTTGTTTTCCAACACCGTAGCAACAAACAAATAACACGAGAAGTTCCTGCATCTAGCTAGCCGGCACATTGGGTACTTTGTTAAATTAAGTGCACATGAAACGGCACCGTTATTATCGTTTTTGTTTGGAAACATGGGATGATTTCAAGAGTTCACATTCGAGATTTGGAGGCAAGTGACACCACAGGTCAGGAGCTGAAAGTAGATAGGAGCTGTACCATCGACTTCCTACACACCAAGTGGTTTCTACATGTTCTTACAATCCTTTTCAACCTTGCTCACACCAAAACAACATGCGCCAGTTCAGTGCCTTCCAATGAGTTTGTGTTGTGAACGGTGCTGCGAAGTCTCCAGTATTGAGTATTCTTATACTGATCTATTTAATATCCTTTCTGCATTTGCTTGGTGACGAAGGCTGAGCGCAGGAGGAATCCAAACTTGCCATGGATATTTGGGGCATTGTCTGCTCGGTTCTGTAGAATTTCCACGCATCTTTCCGGCAAAACACTACACCAACGGATGCACTCTGGGCAGTTCCTACGCCCAAACGGAACCCCCAAATCTGCTGAACGACGGAACGGGTTGACCCGTTCGGCGGGTGTGTCCCACCTTGGAGAAGGCCGCCAGGCCGTTGGGCACATCGGCAAACTTGATGTCCAGGAACTTGGACAAATATCCAGGGAACCTGGCCACGAAGCGACCGAATGGTTCGACCAGAAAAGCACCGCTTCGCTTTTCGGAGTCTGAAGTCCCCGAGAGCGCCCTATAAGCACTGCCCCTCGAAATGAATGGAAGGGTGCAAAAATGTGGGTCTTAGCAGTTTCCAAGGGATGAATCGGGGAAATGAACGGCAGCGATAAGGTCGGAACATTGCAGTCTCTTTGTTCGGAAGTGGACCATGGCAGTTGACTGTTTTTATATACGTGAGGCTCAAAGGTTGCTAACCCCTCTCAAATCTGTGCGTCTGTGCTTTTTGAGCATGGGTGCTTTTTGAAACAATAATGACACATCAATTGAAAATTGTGCCCAATGGGATGTAATACCAACTGTCAATCCACCCGAAGTACCAACGGGCATAATGAATGTACTGTGCCCCACTCCGTGTTGGAATTTGTCCACAGTGCCTATTTCCGGGCTTCTTGACCCGCCCCTGCAGCTTTATGATGTTGAGTTGGTGAAATCAAATATACATGGACAAAAACACAGTTTAACACCAAATGAGTGACAAGTGACAATGATGGTTGGGTTGAACCAGTGATAAGGACGAGTCAGCTCAAAAAGCATTCTGGAGTGAATCACATCTGCCACTGGAGTTATGAAGTGGTGATATAGAATCATATGAAACCTGAATGCCTTGGTCTGCTTTTGTGCGGGAATAACATATGTTTGGAATAGCAATATGATAAACAACTAGTGTTTCTTTGTCAAGACACATCAATACATATCATCGAGGCCATCCAAAACCAAGAAACACATCAATAAGCAAAACAAACAACATCACCAAACCAAGTAAAATCAAGTAGCCCGTTTGGCCTCAAGCTGGTTCCCCAATCGGTTGCTTCGGACCTCCACATGCCTTGTTATACCCATCCACTCTCTGCTCAGCTCAAGCCTCCAGTACTCAGGGAGAATGTAGCCAATTGTGGCAAACATGGCGACCTCACTGGCACCAGCGGTAGAGGGTGGCAACAAGCAGGGGATGATACGGTAACCCCAGTTCGCCACGACTCATTGGAAGCTACGACTGGTTGTCCTGGAAGATCAAACAAAAAAGGGTGTCCATTGAGTTCCAAAGAAAAACACACATGTTATTTACAGTTAAGATAGAGAGTCGCCCCCCCGACTCATCACATCAGTTCACATCCCTGATCCATCTTTTTCCAGTTATTTTTCTGTCTTTTGCGAACTGGTCACAGTGTGGTGAAACCTTCTCTTCCACAGCATTAGGAGGTTCCATGGTTCACAGCACCGCCTGCGCGCCATGGTTCCATGGTTCCAAGTGGAGGCGAAACGGAGGCTGGACGGTTTTGGGATGATGCATAGAGTCTTTGCTAAGAGACACTCAGTTGACACATGGAGTGCCTGAGTTATGGGGTGGTTTAGACATATATAATATATATATATATACATATGGTTTCCATGTATATGTATGACATATATGGTTTCCATATATGGTTTAGACATTTATGGGGTGGTTTAGACACAATTGTCAACACTTTGCCTGTTCTGGGTTCCCCTGGCCCGGCCATGCTTCAACTCAACCTCCCGACGGCGCTTGTAATCCTGAGACGGGGACCGGCTGGCAGGAATCGGTGCGGTCAAGAGATGTGCACACAAGAAGGAATCAGGTTCAAGCTATATAGTTGTCAATTGCTAAATGAAAATAGGAATGCACATATATATATATACAGGAATCAGTAAAGTAGCAGATATGTCGCAGAATGAATCCTAAATTCTTGGGATCATCCAGGATGTTGGCAAGTTGGAAAGACTTGTGGCCCCATGAATTCCACGCGCTATGCCAGTGTTTAGACCAGTCAAGGTAGCGCTTGGTGCAGTGGTTTTGCCCAAGCTGAAGGAGCTCAGTGGAGATGATGGGATGCTATGGGTTCCCTCACACCAGGCCTCCGCTCACTGTTTTTACTCGCATGGGTTGTCCGAAACAGTTTGTGTAGACTGTAGACTATGTTCTCGACCAGGTCGTCGCTTTGCAGTTTCCAAATTCTAAGACGTCTTGAACTCTTGAACACTTACATGGTGGGCTGATGGATTCTCATCTTGAGCCGGAAGATCTTCCCTGACACTGAACTGGACGAGGATGCGAAAGGCATCACTACATTCATGATCTATCTGTGGCATTGGACAAAGCTATGACTGTATTATGATTGGGTGCTTACGTAGTTCTTCTTACCGGCTATTGCAAAGACAACTATGATAAGTATATTGATATATACTGTAAACTAAAGCAGGAATACATGCTTAGGCAGCGGATGGCTTCTAGTGGAGATTGCTCTTTGTCACCTGAATTACCGAAGGCTCTTCTCAAATTCCCTCAAATTATATAGCATCTTAGCTTTATCTCCCCTTCAGAATGCAAGCTTTTCTGTTGACATTAGATGCAAATGGTCTGAGAATCTTGAACTTGGATAACTGCCAATGGCTCAAATAGCAGCAACCGCAACCGCACACAAATAGGATTGAAATTCAGCCAAACCAAGTGGGACCACGACAAATCCAGCTCATCAGTAAACGATATATCATCAGTAGAGAAGTCCAGAATGTTGTTGAATCAAAAAAAGACTCCACTCAAGTGACAAACATATAGAATATAGACTTATATATACTTATATATGTATATGTACACAGAAATTCTCCAAGCATCAAGATCGAGGCTAGGAAATCCAAGATCAAGGCTAGGATTCCTAACCCACCGAAAGCCACCGAACGACTTGCAGCGAGGCACGGATTGGTTGCCGCTCACTGAGAGGCCCAAAGGGTCCCAGAAGCCCACAGGAGGCTGCACCTCAGCGCAGGGAGACCCGTCGAGACGTGTCGGCAAAACATTGTCCCCAACAAGGTCCGTAGTGGACAATGATATGAAGAAAACACATGAACTCCTACCACTCTCTGTCATTTTGAGGATAGACTTTGGGAGGCGCTGTGGCTGCCTTCGGAGGGTTTGAAACTTTTGGAATATGCCTGGCATAATATGTTGAACCCTTGCCTCAACTGGCTCTGCATGTTCCTGTGCAACTCTTCCCTCAAAGGATTCTCTGGCGGCCCTTGCGAGGGTGTGCGAGCTGCTGGGACATTCCCATCGATGTCTTGGAAAAAGTGCGTTGACAAGTCACGCACAGGCATTGAGCGACTGGCATATGTGAAAGATTCTGCAAGATCCCACCAAAAATGATCAATGTTATATAAAACCTGACCGCTATGATTTTGAATGTGTCTCATATGGATGTGGCTTAGAACTAGGAATCCACAATGACATTGATATTCATTGCTTGACCAGCCACATCGCTATGTTGACCAAGCCCAAGAGGTCACAACAAACTAAAAGCCAGTATTGCCCTTGTTGCTAGTAGCGATGCCCTCGTTACTACTAGCTTCTAGCTACTAATAGTAATGCCCTTTGTTCCTAGTAGCTTCTTGTTGCAGTTCGTAGCGATGGCCTCCAACCTACTTGGCCCTGTGGTCTGAGTCCAAGGGAGCTGATGGGAGCTGTGAGATGAAGAAACCCTTGCATCAAGGTGCTCCTGTCTCGTTCTCAAAAGCGCGGAGGGGGGGAGTCGGTGTAGTTGGCCCAATCACCCCATGCAGAGCCTCACGGTCTCACGCCGGCGTTCTTATTTGAAGGGGTCGTCAGGTGGTGAGCTTTTCTTGGTACTTAAAGCACCTTAAAGCGACAAATGGATGCGAACAACGCTAAGGGAATCAAAAAAAATCGATAGATAGACCACGCAAGATCTGATCCTTGGAGGTCTAGGATCTGATTCTGATACTTGCATTCTTTCCATGCAAAGGAGGATATGTCTCTTGAGGCCCCACCGCTCAACCTGCTCAAACGGCGACCATGTTTGGCCCGTTCCACACCTGTAAGGCCATCTTGGAAGAACATGCCGATGATGGCCATCCTGAGGCATCTTGGATCATCTTGGCACCATGACCAAACACAGGATCAACAAACACCTAAGACCTTTGTAGTGATGTAGAGGACAGGGTTTTCAGTAGATCAACACTCAGAAATCATCATAAACCCCATTAGGAAGGTGGGGGGTGCTAGTCAAACACTACCCTGTTTGCAGCCCGCCTTCGACATAAAAGCTTGTACGAAGACTCCAAATGACTCCAGCAAAACCTGTTATATATGTTTTTTTTTAAGCTACAGAATGAGAAGTTGAGAACACACGCAGCAAAACAAATCAGGTTATCAGTGTGTTGTTGTGTTTAAGTTTCTGTTCTCAGAAAGGAGCGGCTTCAGTTGGTCAGCTGACCAACTCTGCGTCGCAGGACCCACATTGCCACAGGTCATCTTTGATCAAATGCAGCCAACCTCTCTTGGAGGCTATCAAACACGACTTGTCTAAAATATGAGACTAATATACTATTAGAAATAGTTGTGTGCATATTATTTATGCATCAGGAAACAGTCACACTCCTATATTAGAAAACCACATCAGTGAAAACTCACAAACATAATTGCTAAAGGTGACGGAAGGATGTTGCATATTCCAGAAATCAACCTGAAGGACCTAACAATCAAGGCACAACAGGCACAGAGCCGGACAATGTGCATCAAAGTGGAATCCAAATCAGTACTCACAAACCAAATAAAGTAGAAACCAGCAAACACAGGAGGGGCGGCATCCTCTGCGGTAGCCAATCGTGTCAGCTGTACAAGTAGGGTCTCGGGTGCTGGGGTGCTTTTGGCAACGGTGTTGACCTTGGTGTCTCGGGCTGATGCTTGGCAAAGCTTGGATCCGGCCTGTTTTATCTGTTTTGTTTTTGCCGGCTTGTTCTCAGGTGTCGCTGAAGACCGTTCATCTCTTCAAGGTTGTACTCAAATCTGCGAGAAGGCAGCGCGTGGCATTGGCCGAGCTCGGTCAAAGTGCTGCAAGCTTGGCGAAAAAAAACGGAAGAGCTTGGACTGTCGCATCCAGCTGGGTGTCTATGGTGTCTGAGGCACTGCCTAGCTAAGGTCAGGACCAGGCATCCAAAGAAGGACGAAAGGGCCCAATGACTGGACATGTTGATGATTGACCACTCCATTGCGGAGGATGGCTTTGTATTGTTCATTGCGCAAGTGTCTCTCTTGTCGTAGAAGAGTGCAGGGTAGTCGCCCCAAACAAATGGGGCACTGCCCCACTGCCGCTGCCTTGATACCAGCAACGGTCAGCTTTTCATCTTTCTGGAGGAAAGGCATCTGGTGAAATGTTTGATGCTCTTCCGGTCAAGTCCAAGATGTGCTGAATCACGGTCACCGCCACGGTCAGGTTCATTTTTGATCCGCCCATTCTGCATCAAATTCTGAAGGACACACTTGGCAATCCAAGTGTTGAAACCGGTTCATGTAATATAACGGTCAATATGTGTTCCACCCTTTTCATATCTTTTCCAGAAATGCTCAATTTAACTTAGAGTGTATTTCGTGCACACATTGTTCTGTAATTTGTGCAATCAGCTTCTTCGGAGCAAATCCCTAAGTCCCCATGGATGCTCATCAATCTTGAACAGCTGAGAACAACACTACACTTTGCTGCAGGTCTATAATCCTATGTAGTTGTCAAGCAATACAGTTAACAACCCGTCTGGTTGTCTTTGACAAGGCCCGCGCCCTTGCCTTGTCTTCTCGATGCAACCTCCTATTTATTGTTTACCGCCTAAAAGCATTCTAAGGGCACACACCAGCTTGGTTGATGTACAACATCCTCAGAGGGACCATAGCGACTTTCACCAGTTCAAGTCCGTCAAGAACAACCATCTCCCGACAATTGTCATCCATTGTCATGGTCAGATTCAGCTGATGTCAACTGTAGGTAGCCCCGAGCTCAATTCATCACGAGTTCCCCATAATTCCGCAAGGCCGGACAAACATTCCAAGCGTCATGGCCAAACGTCCGTTGGCGAGTTCAGCACTGAGCTTGCGCTTCTTGGTCTCGGCGTCCGCAGAGCTGATGGCCTTCCAGCCATAGTCGCCTGAGTGAGTCAGAAAAAGCAACTAAGGATGTTCACAGGACCGTAGTTCAAGAGTGTTGCCTTTCCTCCCCATGTATCGGGATTTAGCATATGCCAATAATCAACATTGTATTCTTTCAAGCTGAGTGGTTCATCTTATTACTCTGCCTGCAGCTATATAGATCCCAGAAAAGGGGTCTTATAGTCCCCGACACCTTCCGCACGCCAAGAGGGCTACTGTTGAAAGGAAAAGGAACAACTTAGCAAGCACTTGGTGAGTTTACGTTTGAACAACGCTTTCTTGTTTGACTTTTGTTTCATAGGCACCTAATTGTGTATATGACCAGATAACACAACAGCGATACGATAGCAGCAGCACATTACCACTGTCTTCAACTAAACAAGTAGACATCTACAAAGAGTTCTTCTAACAACCTTCAACTGAAAAAGAAAGAACGTCTGTGGTACTCTGTACATTCCGCCACCACCTCCTTGGTCGAGTCATCTCAATAAATTTATGCACAAAATACATACATGATCATACATGTATCATGTATATAAATTGGATGCAACACCAACTCAGTCATCCCTACTCATCTGATGAGTTTCAATGTGTCAAAAACAAAGTAAACAAACCTATGTCAAAATGGCACCGCAAGCTGCTCCCATGTGGCTTCTCCGATGGTGGCGAAACGGCCCTTTCGCGCCTGGGGTGCCGCTGTACTTGTAGACAAAGAGCTCGTAGTAGCCGGCGAAGGCCACGATCTGTGCCCAGCCGTTGCCTGGCACCTAGAGCTTCCAGGTGACGGACGATTCCAAGGTGCCTTTTGAGAGGGGAATTGAGAAACTATGGTGTATTTGATTGAAATAACATGAAAATAAACAAGCCAATCTGCACCACCTCAACGTCCTTGGAATATCCAACCACTCCAGAGATTGATGGACATGGAACTCCGACTGTGTTCGGATGGTGAAAGTCTTGTCCACCAAATACTTGCAAAGGCCTTCGCAAAGGTTCTACTCCAGAAGTCACTGGTTAGTAGACTTAAACCAGGGCAACGAAGTTGAGAGATGTTGAGAGTCATCAGCTGCACAAGCATTTCTCAAGGGAAATTTCAATCAATCCACAAAGGACAGCAGAATCTGGTGTGCTGAGAAGGTCGCATCACCATGCATTACCTACGTAACTCCTGCAGGTTCTCCCTGGACATACCCGCCACTTGCCAAACCCTCTACCAAAACTTTGTACAAATTACAGGCTCTAGCAACCTGCATATGTCCATCTTGCAATCGAATTCTTTCGACATAATTAGACATCAACCAGTGAACACGAGCTTCACCGATGTCCTTTGGTGTCTTGCCTTGGCGATGGCAGCCAAGCCATTGGGCACATCTTCGAACTTCAAGCCCAAGGAGGGCGACAGGTATCCTGGTGTTGTTCAATGGGTGTGGGGGAAAGGCCATATATTGAAAAGCTCTGAACATGAGTCCAATGCCGGTTGAACTATTGACCCAGTATCTCTTCCCAGCAATTGCTGCGATATGTCAGATGTCCGCAATCAGGAATCCAAATGAATCCAATAAATTAACGGCATCATGGATGTTGAGACTCGGCTTTGGGGGACCTCCTCCAGCCAATGTCAGCTGGGTCCTCCAACTCCAAGGCTCTCGAGATCACGCACAATGCTCTAACATTCATTAACCACATGTCAACGCTGTTTACATGTACATATTTCAGGGTGCTCATCGCAGGGTGAAGTCGTACCAGGCATTCAACACACAAAGAACAGGCAAAACACCAAAATCCATGTGATGCCCGTCCAAGGTGTCCTGGCCACTTGAAGTACTCAGGAACAATGTAGCCTGAGTCACTGAGACTGGCAAACAATCAGCTATTTTTGGTGATTGCTAAGGCTTCTTGTAAGACAATAGTCACTGGAGTCCCCCACATGACATGGCAAAGTCCCTACATTTACACTTCCTGAAAGAATCATTGCGCCCTGTTTGTAGAGAAACATGGTACTGCAAGAGACCATTCCCGGAAGTGTAAGTCAGCAGGAATACCTGAGTTGAGTTACGTATAGTTAGGTGTCAGTTGCCAAAATACTCAGATCAACTCTCGTAGGCTCCACTCATGACAAGTGATGCCCACCTCGGTTTTCATGGCCTTCTAGGGTTTGCTAGGGGGCGACGAGACTTGTGGAGACGGAAGACGTCTGCAGGATGGCTGCAGGAGCTTCCCCGATTTGTAGCCAACAACCCTGGAATTGTTCCTGCGATTGGTTTGTGACTACTGCAACACCTGTCACATCCAAAATATGATCGATCTATGTTTCTTCAGGAGGCCCGTCTGCAAGTGAACAAATGCGCTGGTTAATGGTTAACTTTGCAGTATGAAAGCCCTAGCTTCTTGCAATACGCTGCTCATGGACAAGCATGGTTCTCCTGCACAATCTGATGCCCGCCGGATACCCAATCTACTGAACACAATTACCCAGCCATCGCTGCCTCATGAAAAAAAAACAATGGTCATGGCAGCTGCAATTGTTGTGAGTACCTTAAGCATTTGCGGCGGATTGCCCGCCCACCCACCCACCCACCCACCCATCTGAGAAATCCCACCCGCCACACACTGACCAACTCCGACTGATGCATCTTCAGTTGTGGATGTGTTTTTCACTGACCATCCGAACTTGGGTTTTGTATGGTTTGGTCCGCCCAGCAACCCATGGTGGCGTACATGGCCACACGGCCGTGCTTGATCTCCGTCTCGCGGCGGCGCTTGAAGGTCTCCATGTTACCTCGGTCGTGAAGGTTTCCGCGGCACGTGAAGGCCTCCGTTCTTTTCTTTTCCGTGGCACATGTGGCACATGTGAGACCTTCTGCGTGTGGATAGTTTTGGGCATCTGATGGTTTTGGGCCAGTACCATGGAAGATCTTGTGTAGAGAGATTGCAGAAGCAATCAATACATCTTTTTTTTCGGGGGGGTTGGGCAGTCTACCATCTGGGAAAAATCTTAGTTTGGCCTTTTGGCCTGTTTTGCGGAAGGAGGAACGTGGGAGTGGCACTTCCAAAACGGTTTGTATGGTTTCTAGCCACCGTTGGATGCTCTCTTGCAGCCCCAATTACACATACCAAGCTGTGATATGCCAACAAGCATTACATTGGGGAAAGGAATCAACATGAGCGAACTCACATGCATGTTCCACACAACATTGGGGAACCTCCAAAATCTCCCTCTGGAAGAGGATGTCCCACCCAAAGTGGAGTGTTCCTTTCTCTCTTACATAAACACACTCTTGCGAATCAAGGGCTCTGGGCAAATCGAGGACTAAGGGGAGCGCAAGAGATTAAGGCACAAGAGAGCTCAGCTGCGAAATCGCGCTGACGAGATGTTGGGTGACGAGGCCACACACAGTTAATATAAGGGATCAATCCAGCGTATGCAAATGTTCCATACATTCAGGAACGTCAATGATGTTCCAAAACATTCATCTCGCGTGTTCCTTTCTTAGTCTTTCTCTGGGTCTCGACAGCAACAACTACTACCACTAGCAGCCTAGCATTCCGCCAGGGGGCCATCACGAGTGTAGCCCACGGGATCCTCACGTCGGGCGCGATGGCGATACACTCGTTCAAATGCTTACAGTGATGGGCTGGTTTGACTCCTCCCGTCAAAACATGTCTATGAACAGTCTATACTTATAGAAGTCGATACATGTTTGTAGAACTTTCAGGACAAACTTGGGAAAAGAATGGGGCAAGGGCCGGCAAGGGGTGTGTGTGTGCTCTCTTCACCGGGTACGAAGTTTGCCGTCGAAAGGACGGTGCCGTCCGGTGCTACGCCGACCCGTTCGACCAAGGGCTTTGCCACGGAAGCACCTGGCTGGACCGGCAAACCTGCATTCGGGCATCAGAAAACATCAGAAAACTGAGCTCTGCATCTTTGTACAAGGCCTTTGCGGCTTGCGGAGTTGTACTTTCAGCACCAACACCATTGAAAGTCAACACCAAGAATGACAATAGTATAGAAGGCACACGTCGTGCACATGAAATATGTACTATACAAAAGCCGGGTAGCCTTGTCATCATGACTGATCCAGCATATACCAACCGGTGTTGCGAGTGTGTTCTATCTACACAAAATGACTCCCTTTCGACTCCTTGCGACTCCCCATGATCCGTTCCAAGGCACCCAAAAGCCCACTGGAGCTTGCACACCCAGCTCCTCCTGACACACGCAAATGCCCAACTCCTCCAAATCAATGAACACCTTTGCCCAAGAGAACATCTTACAGGGGATGTGTGTGAACCGTTCAATGCACTTTGAAGTCTGAAGCCTGGGTTCATGAGTCTGGATGCCTGACCAACCTATCAGTCTGCCAAAAGCCAACAAGAACAACATCTGGCATTCGACTGAATAGGAGCAGAACTATTGACTATATTATACACAAAATGACAAGATCCTTCAAAGGTAATGAACCTGAATCCATTTCTTTGCTGGGAGCTCCTTTAAACCATCAACTGGGCCCATATCGGAACCCTACACCGGAACCTTCTGATCCTTCTGCGTCACATATGCTTGTTAGTGGCCATGTTTGTGCATCGGATGGGAACCGTCCATCTTGAGAGATCAGAAGTCCAAAAGACCTTGAAAAAATCAATCCTTTTGGAACAGATCTTGAGAAACCCATCATGTTGGAGATCCATTTTTGGATTAAACAAAGGATCTTTCAAAAGGATTTTTCGGAGAAAAAAAAACAAAACAAACCGACCGTACCACCGAGTCCGAGTCCGTCAAGTCCGTCGTCTCGAACCTCGAAGGCCCTCAGCGGGGAGTCGGTGTAGAGGGCCCAGTCGCCCCAGGCGGAACCTGGCGCAGTGGCGAGGCGGGCCGAAACGGGCCGAAACGGCCGGAGCCATCGCAACGACGCTCGTCCTTCTGTTATAACAAAAACACCGACATGCCGAAAAGCCGTCCTCGCAACAACATTAAACCCCAAATAAATCCGATATTGTGTCAGGGACAAACAAGTAGCTTTAACATGACTTTCGTGAAGGTGCTTGTGTCCTTGTTGTTTACAGCGTGCTCCTGTTTTTTTTTCTGTCTTGCATCTCTTCATGTCCTCCGTGTTGTGTCCTGAGTCAATGCTAATTTTGAGAATGTATATGGCGGCACGGCACCTCTTTCATTCGCACATTGAGGACCAGGTAAAACATGGCAGGCACAAATAATTGGAAAAGCAAGGGGGAACCAATGTCGGTACACCTCAATGAACAACCGCAATTCAAGGAAACCAATTCCCCAAAACCTTTTCGACCAGCCAGGCATCAGGGAAGTTCACAAACACATAGTCCACAGGCCACAGGGGTCGCATTACGTCTATCATAGGTAGTGTCTCGTTGGAGTGTTCAACTCACAATCTACACTAACTATTGGGCAACCTGCTGTTGAAAAAGATCAGACTCCTGCACCCCCCATCATGCCAAAAACAGACCAAACACCTTGTGAATATGGTCCTTTTCATCGGTTTTCCCCAGCTCAGGTGTTTTTTCGAATGACGTCTTCCAAGCTCGCTCCACCCATCCTGCCTGTGAGGCCATCTTGGAAGAACATGCCGATGATGGCCATCCTGACACGGCCCCCATGCGAAGGGTGTTTCGGTGTTTACCGTTTACCAAGTTTTTACAGGCTCAGCAACTGGTTCTGTGTCATGATGTGTCATGAGTAGGCCCCCAGCTGATGGTTGGGCGTTTGCATGTGTTTGCAATTATTCCCATTTTTCCCCCATCGCACAGCTCGCATCATATTATGAAGGGCGTGCAGGGATACGACTGCTTGTGCCTGTGCGTGGCACTATAGGATCCGCTTAATATGTGTGGTGTATCCACATGCCACAAATCACTAGTCCATGCAGAATTGTGTTCATTGTTGTCAGGAATTTTGTTCAGCAACATCAAAACTTAGAGCCACTTGCAAACATGAAACGCACACTGTGGTGTCATGATCTTGCGAGATCTGTAACTAGCATTTGCCTTGTTCGGGCTTCTTTACCCTGGATGGGCTACTCCACAAGCACATAAGAATGTCCGAATCTCTCTATGTTGTCAAGGCCACCTTCTTGGAAAAACTTACATAACACCGAAACAAATCATCAACTGGCTGAGCCTGTGGAGATTGACCCTGAAACCACCCAAATGGATATAAATGCTCTATGTGGAGTGTCCGGGTATGGGACCATTGGCCAAGCGTCATGGCCAAACGTCCGTTGGCGAGTTCAGCATTGAGCTTGCGCTTCTTGGTCTCAGCGTCAGCGGAGCTAATGGCCTTCCAGCCATAGTCACCTGCGTGAGACGGACGCGTTTTCAGAGCAAGATCCATTTCTCATTCTCATGGTTCTTCAGAGTCCACTGGCCAATGGTATATTTTGGTTTGTCAAATGGTCACAGATTTGGAGACCTCCAAATCATCATGTTCAGCCAGGAGAGGTGTATCTTGAGCATAATTACTAATTATATCTAATTACATTAAAGCCTCTTGAATAAGTACTTGTCCACCACCGGTGTAGGAAGTTGACCTTTCCATTATACAAATTGTTGTTGTTGGTCAAGTGCTCTGGCGCAGCCAATGGGCACAGCCGACACGGGTGCCGCCAGGGAGAAGGTGCTCAGGACTTGCACCGGAAAGCAACTTAGATTCCGAAGATCTCAGACACAAAGATTCTAGATGGTTGGCTCAATTGTTTGTTGCAGTGCATCCATGTCGCAAATCCATACCCAAAAATAAGGCCTTGTTGGATGCATCTCCCAAATATTGAGCTCAGGTAGAAGTTGTTGGTATTAAGTTAGAGGATCATCTCCAGTCAGGAGGCCTCCGGCCCTTTCGTGCCTGGGGTGCCGTTGAACTTGTAGACGAAGAGCTCGTAGTAGCCGGCGAAGGCCACGATCTGTGCCCAGCCGTTGCCTGGCACCTGGCTTCGGTCAAGAGCCAAAGGCTGTTCTCGAGAATATTGATTCGCGGTCAATATTTATGTGTATATATATATATACAGTAGGTGTATATATATATATATATGTGTCATTATATGTCTATATAAGGAGACCTACGGAATGATGAGTCGTGATGATTCTTGAAACGTTTGGGCTAAGTTACGAGGATGTTCAATGTTGTACAAAAACAATGAACTGATTGTTTTGTTGGCTCCATGCTACTTGTTTTCAGGCGTGCAAAAACATCTGTCAAGTTTATTGAAACATCCAAGCTCAAACAAAACACCTCATTAAACTGAGTTACACCTCGCTAAGTGAAACGTTCAGGCATCATGAGGGTGGTAAAAAAAAATGCCACAGCCTAATCAATATGCACTCCAAGAGAGGTGACAACATAAAAAAATCCTTCCAACATGCACAGTCTAAATCTGGAGCTTCATTGTTTGAAATCAAAACCATGGACCCGTGCAAACGCCAGGGCACCGAGAAAAACATCATATTGCATTAGGGCTCTGATTCGGATCCATCATACTTCAACCCAAATCAATCACACTGACAACCAATCCACGGACGGTGTTCAAAAAAAAAACATCCGCGTCACGCCCAAGTCACCGGTGACAGAGTCCTTTCCCTCCCAGTCCCCCCGCGGATGTGCGCACCTTGGTGATGGCGGCCAAACCATTGGGCACATCTTCGAACTTCAAACCCAAAGAGGGCGACAGGTATCCTAGCACAAAAACACATGAAACTGAACCTTGATGTTTTAATTTCAATTGGGTTATCAGTTTTTAGTAAATCAACAACGGAAAATCGGTTTTATTATGTTACAGGACGTTTTGTGGCACCTCCAATGACTCATTATTGAACAAAGGCCAATCGTTAAAAAAACTTCACATAGCTTGACCATGACATGATATGACAAATATGGCGCTCGAAGCACGAACTTCTACCGGCAAACAGTTCATTACCCACATTACTTGTTCATCTACAAACGCATCAACACTGCATGGGTGGAATCAGTTTCATGCTGTTTCTTGCGGTTTCTGGTTGCCTACACCTTCTTGGATATGATTTGACTCCCCAAAAGGGTAATGCAAATGTTTTGTTGATGGAAAGCGCGGTGTGGGTCGGTCATGACCGCGCATAAGAGGAAAACTCAAATCCGACGTCTTGAGCAACGTCCCCGGGCTCGTGTAAATATGGCCGCCTGTGTTCAGCTCGCCTTTTGTTGGTTTGACCTGGTTTTGCACTTCCCTTTGCATGTCTAATCTAGTGGTGTGATTCACGCCCTGCAAAGCTCAAATTGGGCGTCCCACCTCATTTTCCAGCTATACTGACCCATACCAGGCACGAGAGCCCGGCGCCTTGCAAACCAGCGTGAAATGAAAAAGATGCAAGGCCTGGATTGCAAGCGCTTGGCGTGGAAGTATTTTACAAAATAGAAAGGGAAGGACACCCTTTAATTCAGAAACTGCGGTCAAATTTTTAAGTGACGTCGGGCGACGCCGCTATGATTCGGGCAGAATACTGTCATTCAGTGTTGACACATGGCGGCACGGACAAACGACGCCGTCCGACCATGCGCGCTTGCAAGAACCGGGCTCGGCGTTGTGGCTGTGTGCGGCATGTGTCTCCAAAGTCATCTTCACTGTGTTCATGTTCCCATTCAGGCACCTCATCACGATGACCCGGGAGAGAATCCCCAATCTCCCAATCGAGCTCAGCTTCCCATCAGGGATTCACTCTTCTGGTGGGAATGGTTTCAACACAAGCCAGCGCGAAACCAATCAAGACTGCTGATTCCGGTGCAGCTAAACAGGAATTGAGCCAGCACGCCTGTTTGCAAGGGCACCATTCTTTGCCTCCAGTCAGCAACTTGCTGGAACGAAGGCTGCTTCTTGAGTGATTAATCTTAAATGTTTCACAGCAATCATTCTGGCTACGTGGCCAAGAGACAACAAAGACGCACGGACTTGAAGGGTTCCCATATGTTCCCATTAAGTTCAAGTTTCATAGAACAAAATGCGCCTTGAGCGAAAGCAGGGAGATGATGACGTGGACGTCATCTATCCAACTGCGTTTCTTTGTTGCGGTCGACCACCTGCTTCGGAGGAAAAGCGGCGTATACAGGAGCTCACCAGCAATCGACGGTGTTGAGCTTCGCGGAACCAGTTGGTCTCGGGGATGTGGGCCACAACAAGAGTTCATCCATTGCGACTGCCATAATAGGTAGCATGGAGCCACCCAGGCCCAGGGCCATTTTCTGGCGGGCCTTGATGGGCACCCTGGCGACGTGTCTGACCCATTTGAGCGCGGCGCAGCAGTCCTGGCCAGTACCCATGCCTCATTGAGGAGGACCTAGTTGAAGCGATATGTTCATCAATTGAACATCACGCCACAGTATCTGCATCCGCGTGGCTCAGGCCATGCCTCTGCAATCAGGGTCGTCTGCGGCAATGCGACCTTCAAGGTTCAGCGTTCAGTCTCAGGCCGATTCCAACGCCACGCCGATGGATCATCATCATACTTTTCGAGCAACGAAAGAGGTCAATGTCATGCAGGGGCTCAATCCTCACATCAACTGTTAGTAGGTAGTCCGCGGCCACGAGCTTGTTTGCCCTTGCGCCCCCCGTTCCCCTTAGGTTGAGCCCCCCCTGCTGCTGGTGGGCCGCCTTTGCCTTTCACCTTGGCCCTTGCCCGCTGATGGGCCCTGTCTGGATACATTTGGAGGGTTGGACTGGCGTTGTCACGTTGTCAGCCTGGATTTTGCTGAGGACATATAAAGGCCAGTTAAGTTTCTCTTTGACCAAAATGGATAGTTGACGAGAAACTTCCCCCGGGACCAGGCGTATATGGTTGGTTTCCAAAATGTCTTTTCCCAAAATGGTGCACTCATCGCAATTCCATGGGGGCCCACTTCTAAATCTCCTTTAAACTCCAACCACACTCAAACCACAGGGATGTTCAATATGAAGGCATGTCAACTGCAAAAGTTGTGAGAGGTGTCTAGCGCGGACCTTTTCAGGGGCCTGTTGAGCTGCTGGAGCTGTTGTTGTTGTTGCTGCTGCTACTGCTGCTGCTAGACTTCTGCAGTTGTTTCCAATTCTCAGAAGTCTTCAGAACGACATAGGAAGGACGTAAGAGCTGACTCAAAACATTCAGGTGTTGGATGGGCAGATGGTCAAGAAATGGACCGTCGTCTAGCGCGGTGCTAGCGCGGATCTAGCGCCAGCCTAGCGCAAAAATCTCCGTCGATTTCTTCATCCTGTCAGGTTCTTAGTTTTCCTGCTTGCTTGTCTTCTTCTTGTGGTGCATTCTTCTTCTTCTTCTTTTTCTTCTTCTTCTTCGTTTTTCATGTTTTTTTGTGTTGTTTCTTTTTCCTGCTCTCTGCTTGTTTCTTCTTTGCTTATCCTGTTATGAAGAAACCTAGCGCCAACCTAGCGCCAATCTAGCGCTGCCTTGCTGTATCACCATAGTCTGCTGGGGGCCCGCTTTTAAACGAAGACTTAAAACTCATCTCCAACCCTAAAAGTTTACGTTTATCTAAAATTTTTGAGTAGGGCTTTTTGAGTGCAGTCCATATGTGCTGTTCCTCCCGACTTGGACACTCAATCGATACGCCCGGTGAAATCCAGGGCATAGGCCACAATGCGGCGTTCATCAGCGGAGGGCCAGCGTCGATTGCCCCGTGATAATTCAGTAGATTTAGCCGCGGCTCGTTCTTCATCAATGTCCTGGACCAATAGTGATTGAAGTTCACGGACCAGACCGCATTCGGCGCGCTGGCGAAGTTCGGACAACGGGAACTCAGATCCACCCCTGTAAATAGGGCAACGAGAGAACTGCTGTGCTCAATGCGGACAAAACGGTAGGCTTCTTGTACTTCCACCCTGAGTTCCACCTTGGACAATCTGTCCCATGATCCTGATGCCCTTGTTCCAAAATTCCCACCCGTCGTTCCAGATCCGCGATTTTACGCTTGCGCTCATCCGCCATGGAAATTGAAGACGGGCCCGAGAACGTGTTGATGCTGAATGGGCTGCGAAAGGCAGAGAAAAGTCCAAAGACGAGACGTCTCACCTACCCCAGGATCCAGATCATAAGACCACCCCCACGCCGCATTAACGACCATGAGCACGACGTGGAATGTGACCAATGAGACCATCTTGAAAGGCCTGTTCACTATGTACGTAACGCTCGTGATTTTTGCGCGCGATCACTGACCCCAGTTTCTTACCACAATACCGGCACGTTACGTTAGCATCCCCCGGACCCCGGCAGTCGGGTTGATGTTGTGGAAGATCACAACTGCGAAAGGTGACCCCACAGATCGGACTCCGCAGTCCTGGCCACTTGAAGTACTCAGGAACAATGTAGCCTGAGAGCAGTTGTTTGGCTGCCAGCAGTTGCACTGTGAATTGAAGGATCGATTCTATGTAGAACAAAATGAAAAAATACTGATTGAAACAAGTTGCAAAATATACTCAGGACCGTTGTCCAAGATCACTAAGCAAAGCTCACATCTCTTTCAACTCCCAGTGGAGTATGGGTGAGGGAAATGGGTCCAACATGGTCCAACAAACACTGAAATGGTCTTGCAATACTGAACCGGCCCAATCTCGTTCAACGACCGGTCTGGCACATCGGTCCATTTCTGGTCCATCGGTACCACAAACGCCAAGCAGCCCATGGTGGCATACATGGCCACGCGGCCGTGCTTGATCTCAGTCTCCCTGCGGCGCTGGAAGGTCTCGGCGTTGCCTCAGCGTTCCGGCACAGAAGGCATCGCTGGTAGCATCGCATCGCGATGGTCTTACAGGGAGGAACCAACTTGGCTCGTTCCTCCATGACCGGCGATGGAGGAATAGAGTTCTAAATGTAGAGAGCCCGTTTCATGGTGCAGATCAACGCCCAAAGGAACCAAATAGGTGACGTGCTTGTCATTGTGTGCTAAAGGTTGAATGCATGGGTTGCATTTGCAAGTTACAGTGGCAGTGGGCGACAAAGGTTCATTGGAGTGTCTGTCACAAACAGTGACAACCTTCTACCGGCTAGCAGTAGCTAGCGACCAAACTTGCATGCCACCTGATACATCTTAGAACATCCTACTACTACAGTACTTCTGGGGGATTGACTTGGTACCGACAAAACTGGTGTTTATCTTCAAGGCCACATAAGGTTGGCCAACCTCATCTTTGCGGTCCACGCTCGATGCTGAGGGGCACAGAAACTGGAAAGGTTTCAGGTGGGTGAAAGGAGTTTCACGAAACCTGCACCTGAACGGTCCTTGTTTGGTGTGTTGTGGACCGAAAGCTTGGGACCGAACACACCCGTCTCCGCCACACACACGTCTTCGTTGCGGACCGTTCCTTTCCCGCGCCTCGTTCTTCCAGTATGGTCCCGTTCGTATGCGTAGGGTGAAAACAAGATGGTAAGAAGATGAACGCGGAGTGCAACAGGTGTGACATCGGTGGAACTTCACACAAAAGGATCTCCCCAAAAAACATCAGGAACTGGATCTAGTTTCATTTTTGACGGTTGGAGTAGATCAAAACCATGTCTCTGTTAAGGAAGTAAGTATCGGCACCATAATCTGTTTGTAGAGATCCTCGCAAACCTTGATTCTTGAACTTTTCTATCAGACCATGAACAAACTCTTGCACAGTACAATGTGCCCTTCTCAATTTGGGGATCTTTTTACTTGCTCTATGCGATGCAACGAACATCCATCCAAAAGATCTCTCTGCCAGACCACTAGGGAAACAACAATAGGTCTCTGATTTGTATCACCAACAGCCGTATGGATTCAAACATCCTCAAACCCATGCAGGATTGACAACCCCTGTTTCCCTTTTCCACATGCCAAGGCTCCATCGCGAGTGTAGCCCACGGGATCCTCGGCGTTGGGTGGTTCGCTTGGGTATCGGTTTTAATGTTCATTCAGATGTACTTTCCTCCAACCCAAGAGCGATGGCCTCCAACCTACTAGATTTGGATTGATTTTGGGGTTCGACGTTTGTTGGGTTTGGGATTGCGGGCTGTGCTGCACCACTGTGACCCAATCTCTCCTCCTGTCTTTGAGCTTGGAGGACTTGTTGACAAGGGGTACCTGCTTAACAAGGAGTGTGGGGTGACTAGCAAGCAAACAGCTAGTGGGGCGGGGGCTATGTGGAGATGTGGAATAACACATTTTTGTGCAGTCGTCCGTCTACTCTCACTGCCTTCCATGCTTAACCTTGTTTCAATAAGGACATACACACACATACCGTCAGCAGTTGTTCCCAACCAGAGTTCTGTAGCACATAAGTATCGTAGTCAGTTGCGTTGCGCTGACTCTGAGTACCTGGCAGCAACCTGGTATATACCAATATGTTCACACTACATTTGCACAAACATTTTTATAACAGCTTCCATGTTTACAACAGTTTCCTTTCTCGTGTGGGACCCCTCCACCCACGCCCTACAAGTTTGGCAACCATACAGGACACCAACTTCTGCTTCCCCCTCCGCCGGCATAGAAAAAACACATCATAAACGCAAACAAACCCTTCTTGGGAGGCCCGATGCCCATCGTGTGCTGTTTGGACAGACTACATGCTCGCCGAGTTGCCCAGAATCCCACTGGGGCCTGCACGCCAAGTTCATCCTGGCCAGGAATGGATCATGCTTTTGTTGAGTCACATGCTGACTTGCAAGAAAGAAAGGCATAATATCACAATTGACCATCGTCTATGGTGCATGTTTTGTCTTTCTATATTTAAAAGATTTGAAAAGCTCCGTTCCGAGGTTTTCGTGGCATCCGTGCTTTCCAAAAACACGCAGTTTCTCTCTCCAGAGGTGCCAGTCTCCAGAGCATTCCAAGAGGCACCGGGGGGCAGCAAGACATGTAGTTGTCATTAATGAATGACAGTTGTTTTGCTTGACTTACATCAGTAGCATTTGTCACACCACAATCTTCAAGTTGACTCTTGATTTTCTTTTTTGGGGGATTCTTCCTGTCAGATGCACAACAACAAGAGGGTCGACACATCCACAAGCTCGGGAATCTTCATCTCCATCGCCACTCTGTGCAGCACTGCATCTACAAGTCTACAAGTCTACAAGACTATATTCGCGCTTGTATCCCAAGTGAGTACATTATGATTACAAGGAGGTATGCCCAAACAAGACCGACTGGGCGTTTCATCGGTCAAGTTGATGTGGAACATGTTCCTTCATCCCGACCAGCCCACACATGTAGTTTTGACCCCCGACCTCGAAGGCTCGCAAAGGAGAGTCGGTGTAGAGCGCCCAATCTCCCCAGGCAGAGCCTGCGTTCCCAATTTGTCGAGAGTCGTATGGCTGCGATGGATCCGACAGCTGCAGTGAGTCCATAGATTTCTTGGTACTACTAGCGTGGCACTTGTTCCTAATAGCGTCCTTGTTACTA